TCCGCGCCCGCCCGCGCCGGGGCCCGCGGGCTGCACCTCCTGCTCATGTTCACCAAGGCGGGCCCCGCGCTCCGCGACAAGGCGCAGGCGGCGCTGCGCTCGCTGCTGCGGCACGGCCGGCTGGGCCCCGCCGACACGCTGCACCTCCACCTCGTCACCGACGGCGCCAGCCGGGACATCGGCCTGGGGCTGCTGCGGGACCTGCTGCGCGGAGCCGCCTTCCGCCACCAGGTGCGCGGGGGCCGAGCGGGGCGGGCCGGGAGCGAGCGGGGCTCTGCCCGCTGCGGGGGGCGCTCTGGGGACGCGCTCGGGTGTCCTGTGTGATCTTTGTGATCTTCCTGCGGGACACTGGGAACAGCAGTCCACCGGGAAGAAACTCCTGGTTCAGCATTTCAACACAAGTACCACGTGTGCTCCTGAGTCAGTGGCTTCCTGAGCGTCCTGCAGGACCTGCAGGATCAGAAGAGGCTGTTGTTGGCCTGTTGCTGGTGGCTCTTGAGAACGGGAATAGAGGGGGTAGGAGTGCATCCACGTTAGAATGTTCGTCCTGCCTCCCAAAAACATAGCTAGTGCAGTCCATGCAAAGTCAGACTTTCCTTCGCATCAGACAGGTATCTGAAAACTGTAAAGGTGTTAAGTTCAGAGACTCCAGGTAACTTGACCCCCCCTGTCCTGAGGTGCTGCTGCAGAGAGCATTGCTTGGAAGTGTCCTCTAGTCCTGCTGTTACTTTTTATAGCTCATCTTTCTGTTATTTAGTATTAGCTGAACTCTGCTGTGATGTAAGCAGACATGTAACCTTAACGTTGTTCATAGAGACACTTTTCTGGTAAATAATCCCACCTCTTGTTTTGTTTAAACAAGCCCTTTCCTAGTGCTGACACTCAGGTCACGTACCCGTGGTGGGTGACCCACCCCATGCCGTCAGTGCTCAGCTCTGTGCAGGGGGTGCACAGTACCTGAGGAGGATTCCTGTGTGCCACAGCAGGATGGACTGACTGCCCCACGATGGTGCAGTGCTGATGTGGTGCAACAGCCCAGCTCAGGTTTGTGATATTATGTCCCCTGCAGTGGGAGGACCCCTGGGGCCACCATGGTGTGCATCACCTTTGCCATAACCCCTTCTGTGTGTGTGGCTGCCTTATGCCATCTGCTCTTCTGGGAAAGAAACTTCTCTGTGGGCAGCCTTGCTGGTCTTGCTTCTCCAGGGCAACACAGGCTGGGAGTTGGAGGTGAGGGTATGCAGTGATGTGTCTGTTACAGATGGGCCTCTGTAGGTGCCTGTGGACTCACAGGCAAACCTGGCTCATGGCTCAGTGAGTAGGTTGTACATCAGAACTGATCTCTTGGGTGTAAGCAGGCACAATGATCTGGAGGACTTGGGTGAGATCTCACTGGGATCTACTCAGTCAGCTTCTTCCCTCTCTCCTGCAGAGCCTGATGTATCCTGGTTTCCATTGGCTAGCCAGTGACAGTACAGTTTGGATCTGTCAACTTCTCTGCTTTTAGGTGGAGTTCCCAGTACAGAGCAAAGACCGTTCCTGCTTCTCAAGCCTACAGCCTTGCCCCTAATCCCTGTGCCAGTCTCTGGAATGCCAGCAGGTGACAGCACTGCTTTAATCTTGCTGTAGCCTACTTCATTCCTCCTCTTTACCAGCAGAAAACATCTCCCTGGCTTGGACCTTTGGTGCTGCTGCTAAAATGTTGAAGGTGATTGATCCTGACACTCAGCCCCAGCAGTAAACCACCTCCCTCCCTGCTTCTCCTGTTATCTCCGGAACATTCTCCTGGTTCTTACACTATTTTCCTAGATCAGGCCCAGAGATGAGGTTTGATAATGTGCTCAGGGGACAGCTGGAACTGCTGAGGCAGGACTGATAAAACCTCTGAACTTTACTTTTATTCTTCATGAGGAAGTGATTCATGCCCTGCTTTTGGAGCTTCCCTTGCCCTCCCATTCTAGCGGAGCTGGGATCAGTTGGCTCCTCTGTTAGAGTGAAGCCCAGAGTCAGACATGGATCCCAACCCATGGGGAAGGTTCCTAACCCGTGGGGAAGGTTGTGGGCAGCTCTTGTCTCTCCCTAGGCAGATTCAGGAACTTTGAGAGTCTCCTGGAGACCGGAGCAGCCGGCAGCAGTCTGGGATCAGCGTGGAGGGTGAGGGCAGAGGGGCGGTGGGAGCAGCTCAGGGATAGGATCCTCCCGGCAGGGCAGGGCTGTCCGGGCGTGGGCGGGCGTGACGTTGTGTCACCCATCCCGCAGGGATGTGCAGATGTGTCCCAGATGTGGCGCCGGGAGCGCAGCCGTGCGGCGGCGGCAGAGGGAGCCCGAGCTCCGCGTGTGCGGCCGCGGGGCGGAGGGGAAGGGCCGGGAAGCGCCGTCCTGCCCGTGCCTCGGCCTCCCGGCCCCGGCTTGCCGAGCCTCTGTGGGCTTTTACCAGGGCTTTATGTCCGCAGTCCCAGAAAGCGCGGCCCGCCCGCGGGTCGCAGGGTGATCTCCGCAGCCTGTCCCGCTTCCCGGCCAGCGGGAAGTGCCCGGCAGTGATCCCGGGCCAGCCTCGGCGGTCGGCACTGTGCTTACAGAGCCCTGGCTCGCCCCGTGTTCTGCCACTCCAGCCTGTGTGCTCACACTCCTTGTGCGGTTCCTATCGCTTATTGATTCCATTTCCCTGCCAGAGTAACGCGAACCGTGTGCTCGGATCGCTGCTCATCCCAGTCCCCTGTTCGGATCCTATTGGGAGTGAATGTAACTCGGCTGCCATCGCTCCGTGTTTGTGGAGAGCTGTGAGAATACCCGACATGGGAAGGAGGGATAGTTAAAAGGAAAAGAAATGAGGGTTGGTTTTTTCCTAGCGAATCAGTAGAAAGGGTCTTTTATCAGTGCAGGACTTGTGTTTATAAAATTGTGCTTGCACAGGAAACCCCTAGAACTTTTCTTAGTGTCCTCAGCAAACATGGCCAGATTTAGCTACAGGGATTTACTAAAAGCTGTTACACAAATAAATAACGAAGTACAAAATTAGCAGCAGATCAACTAGCTGTGCTAAAGTGAGCAGTGAGGAGAGGAGAAGCCCTTGTGGTCCCAGAGAGGCTGCCTGACCTGTGACTGTGGGAGGACAGTTCAGCTGCTCAGGAGTTTGCTTTGCAGAAGTACCTAACCAGAGGGTGGGCAAAAGACAGGTTTTCCTGTTTTCTTTGGCAGGAGAGAGAAGGCAGATGATACTGTGTCTGGAGTTTCAGAAGTATTTCTCCCATAATTTTTGTACAGTGATGCTTGGCACTCTGCTTTCTTTGGAGGTGCCTGGAATTGGGTTTGGCTTTCCCTCCCCCCACCTTTCCTACATGCTATACAGACTTCAGGCTGCCTTTGCTGGATGCAGAAGGGTGGTTACAGGTGCTGTATTTCTCCTTCATGCTTCTCCAATCCAGCCAGACCCTGAAGCTGCCCCACTCAAGCTGGGCCAGGAGGAGAGCATTGCACATCCCCGTGGTGGGGTGGTGCTGGTGGTGCTCTGCTCCATGCACAGGCTGTCGGTGCCTTTGCATGTGAAGAGTAATTGTGGTTTGCTTGTTTGGTCACCTGGGATGGCTGCTGGCAGCAGCACTTGGTGCTGTTCTGCTCCCCACAGCTGTGCCACTCTCCAACCGGCGCTCACCGCGATGGCACAGCCGGCAGGGCTGGGCGAGGTGCTGTGTAATGTTACCGGGAACAGAGCTTCCTCCCCTGCAGTGTCTTGGGGAATATGCCGTGCTATCCAAAGCCAAGTGTGGCTGCTGGTGAGCTCTCCCAATGCACTTTTCCTGGTACACGTTGTTCTGTGTTTTTCCTGCCGTTCTGCTGCAGGCGCTTGGCCCCGAGCCCGGAGCGGGGCCACCCCGCTGAGGGACACGCTGGCCACGGAGCCTGTGTGAGGGCTCTCTTGCTGATGGCAAGGGCCAGTGCCCAAGGGTGGGTGTTTAGGGTGCCCTTCCCAGGGCTGGGGACTCAGCTGTGCCTGTCCTCCAGCAAGACCCTGCTGTGGGCTCAGCGGTCATGGCCAGTGCCAGGGCGGCCCCATCACCTTGTTCAGTGTACTGCGGGTCCCACGAGCAGCACCCCAGCGAGCTCTGCTCTTCTCTGCTGTGAGAGCACTTTGGGGTGACGTGTTCTGCAAGAAGCTGTGGAAGGAGGAAGCTCCACATTGCTCACTGCCTCTGTGCCAGCCTCACTGGGCATCAAAGCAACCCCCTGTGAACCCCAGAGGGGATGGTCATTGCACCAGCACAGGCTCCAGAGTTGCCTTCTCCTCTGAAGCACTTGGTTTGGTTTATGGGTATTTTTAATTTAAAAAAAAAAGAAAATTCTCTCTCCTACATGTTCCCCTTGTTCTTAAGGAGATGAAGTTTTAGTAAGGAAAAGAATTGAAACTGTAGAGCCATTGGAATGGTTTAGTTTGGAAGGGATGTACAAAGATTGTAGGCTGAGCTCCCTGCTGAAGGCAGGGCCAGCTTGGGGAAGTGTCCTGGTATCCCTCAAACAAGAGGTATAGGCTACCCTGTCCAAAATTCGAGTATTGCTGCAAAGTTATGTTCCTGCTGGCCTTCAGTTCCAGTGAGGCTCTTCCTGTTTTCCCTGGCCTGAAGAAGGCAGCACAACCTCAAGTCTCCACACTTCCTGCACTCCCCCTTATCTGCACCGGGGTCATGTCCCTCGTCTCTCTTAATTATCCCAAAAATCCCTCTCATTATCTTGTGTGATTCAGTGACCTGTATCTTTCTGTGGGTGTAATGAGCTGCATGAAAGTTCCTGTTCATCAGACTTTGACCAAAAAAAATTCTAAGCCTGTACAGTTTCAGTAGCTGACAAGGTGCATTTGGGGTTGCTCCTGTTTCTGGGCCATAGCCACGATCCGGCGCAGGCGTGTCAGGGCCCGTGCTGGTGCATGGGCTCCCACAGGGCTGAGGGGTGCAGAGCAGTGCTGGCTCCAGCACAAGTGGGCTGAGATCCACGTAGAGCAGTTACTCAGCTCTGCTGTAACTCCTGATGTTTGAATTTTCATCGGCGTGCTGCAGCCCGTCCTCCTTTCTCCCCTGCAGCCCTAGTGGGATGTGCTGCAGAGATTGCCTCCATGCTGGGCTGAGGTTCAGGAAATCCGGGCTGCATCCTGGCCCTGTCACAGCCTGCCTCCGTAGCAGGGAGCAAGCCTTGGTCCTTGGGGTAAGTGACGTGGTCTGACCTCTAAACGTCATGATGCCAGAGCCTGGAGCAAACTGTCACCTCTTCTGATGGACTCCATATGGGACACCAGATATGTGGTTGCATCAGGCAGTGGGAACAGACTAGGAAAAAACCACAAAACATGGAACACACATGGCTGTGTGAGTGGATTCGAGTCTCTGCCCATCTAACAGTTATGAAATGGCTGTAAAAGTCCTTCCCTCCTTTCCCTGCCACACATGACTGGCTCCTGTGGCAAGGGAACATAGGAGGGCCGGTGCAGCCAGGCCCCTTTGTGCGGCTGCAATGCCACCAGCATGATTTGTGCTTTAACAACCTACCCCCTTGCCCCGTGCTGGTGTGGGCTGAGCAAAGGCTGCTGGAGCTGGGCCAGTCCCCAGAGGCAGTGGCTGAGTGGTGTTTCTGGTGTCTCTCCCAGGTAATAGTCCATGATGTGAATGAGCTGACAGAAAAGCTGTTTCCCATCGTTGAAGCCATGCAGAAACACTTCAGCGCTGGATCAGGGACCTACTACAGCGACTCCATCTTCTTCCTGTCGGTTGCAATGCATCGCATCATGCCCAAAGGTAAGGCTCTGCTGAGCCGCCTCCAGCAACACAGGCTCTCTTTTTCTTCTGCACAGAGATGTTATCCAATACTATTTGAAATGCAAAGAAAGTCAATAAACTTCTGGGATGGGCTCCTGGGATTCTACTCCTTCCTGCAGAGTGATGTACCCATCAGTCCAAGACCGCCCACATCCAGGTCTTCACTGGGGTGAGTGACAGGAGGTTCTGTGTGTCATATGGCAGCTGGCCATGCCCTCATGCCCTGAGATGGTAGGAGAGGTGAGACAGGAGCAAACGTGTGTGCCCTGTGTGTGTTTACAGCCCCTCACCCATGGGGTGCCAGCAGGAAGAGGTGCTGTGTGCCCGTGGCGCAGCCACGCACTCCAGAGCATCGGCACTGGGCGGTTGTTGAGCCTTTCCTCTGGGCTTCAGGGAGCTCTTGGAAAGCTTTGCTGATTAGCAGCCACTGATCACTTCAGTTTCCTTATTGTGCCTTTGCTCTGCTGTTATTGACTGTGGGAACAACAATAAATCTGCAGGAAAACAAGGCAGCTGGCAGAAGGGGCTTGGGTCAGCTGATGCCATGTTTTGCTTCCCTGACTGCACACAGTTGGCTCTCCTGGGACCAGCATGCTGTCTAGCCTTTGACTGGTTACACAAGGAGGGTGTTGCATCCTGGGGCTCCAAACCCCTCCAGTGGAACTCCAGCAGCCCTGCCGGTCCATTCCCAGTGCTGGTCCCTGGGCTCTCCCTGTCGGCTGCCTCGCTGGCCTGACACACCAGTGATGGCAGCATCCCCTTCTGGGCTGGCTACATGTCCTGCCTGGGCTGTGGCAGTGGTGGCAAGGACCCCAGGATCCTGCCTGGCTGTACACCTGCCCCAGGAGGAGGTGACCAGCCTCTCCAAGTTGTTTGTGGGTGTCCTGTGGTGATGGCCAATTCCCACATGTGTGTTGCTGAAATGGCTGTTCCTGTGGCTAGCACTGCTGACACCAGCAGCTTCCTTGGCATCTGGAGCCTCTGCCCAGCCATAATGTTCCCTGCAGACTTCCTACCATGGGTTTAAGGTGCACTCTTGCTGAGATGTGAGCAGATATAACTCCCCTGTGCCCCTGCTGAATCCTGCTCAGTTTGGTTCTACCCAGTAGCTCCTACCTCTGCACTGCTTCATGAGGCTTCCTCTGTCCTTTGTGGACTTGCCCCTGTCCTCCTGGCATGGCAATCCCACACTAGCTCATTAAACAGTGGGGCAGTGGTGACCCTGAGGGTCCCATCCAGCCCCCGCTGATCATTACTCTGTGAGCTCCAGCAAATGTGCTGTACTTCACTCTCCATCAGACTTGGGTGGTTTTTTGTGTGTCTGGTGCTGTCTGCACTGCGAGGGCTTTGAAGTACACTGCATACAAATGATGGTATTAACGCTGGCTAATTCACTCCTCCCGATTCCCTGCTCTGTCTTTACTGTGTGCTAAAGATATCCATGTCGTGCTGCCTGCCAGCAAGAAGCTGCTCGGTCTGAAATGCCTTTTCTCAGTTCATCAACCCGACTCTATTTGCTCTCCCTCATCCTGACTGGGCTTTCAGTGGTCTGTTCGGGGCACAGGATGTTTAAAGAGGTATTTTTACAGTTTCATGATCTTAGTTTTTGTTTCAGAAGCTGCTAGTAAAGCTGATTTATATTTCCCTTGCAAGGGAGGTCAGATTTACTGTGCTGGGTGCCTGGTGATTTATGGGGCTGGCCCGGCTCCCTGGCCCTTTCCCTGTGCAGCCAGCACTGGGTTGGAGGCAGCAGGGAAGGCTGCAGCTCTGCTGCCCACTCACAGGCTTGTGGGTGGTGTGGGAATGGCACTGGGCTCCTGCTGCTCTCCTGGCTCTGACAAGCCAGGATCTACTGATCTCGAGAAGCCACTTTGCTAAGTTGGAAGAGAAAGGACCAAGCCTCCCTTTTGAGGCAGTATCTACATTTTCCTTGGTGCATTTCTCCTGCTCTGAATGATGTGTCTTTTTCTGCACCTCTGCAAGCACATCTGGCTCCATAGCATTAGCACTGGTTTTTTGTGGAAGACAGATTTGATTGGAAGCTTGAGCATCCTCCAGCAGAAATGAAGGCCCTAATCTGAATATTAAACTCTCTTGTGTGTTTGTTTGCATTTGCATTAATGAGTCTGTGTTTTTTTTTCAGCAGCCAGCAGCCTTTGCATTAAAGTCGCCTGGCTTTAGTTTTCCAAATTTATCATTTTTAGAAGGGAAGCATTTCCATGCTATCATGACTTAGTGATTTGTTTGGAGCCTTTGGGTTGTGATAGGGCACATTGTGGGCCAATGGCACTGAAAACTGAACACCAGGGCTATTTTTTTTCTTTAAGGACTTTTGTGGAACACATGCTGGCTGCATGCACATTGCACTGAGGATAAATGGGGTTTGCCACTCAGCTGCTCGTTCACTGTTGCTTGGGATCCTTGCCCAAAAAACTTCGAGATCTAAAACCTGCAGTTGCCAAGTTTTAATATAACAGCTTCTTAGCTGGTGTAAATCATGGAACACTCTTGCCTTAAATGTCTTACATCAGTGGAGTTAATCTGATTTAAACCAGCTGGGGACTTGGTATGCAGCACACAGAAGTGCAGACTGCATAACTCTTGTCTGTGCTCAAGGCTCATAAATCCTGTTTTAATGTGCTGTGGCCAGGCCTGGGAAGCTGGAGCAGGGCTTGATCCATCACAATGGTTCTGCAAGGGAGAAGTGATGAGAAGGTTACACAGAGTGAGGATGAGCAGGTTCAGGTGTAGGAGGACCTGCCAGGATGAGGACAATGCCAGCATGAAATGGTCTTGAGACTTGTGGAGCAAGGCAAGGGGGAGGGAGAACAAGGATGCAGACCTTTTCATTTTCCTTTTCAGTAAGCCCATCCAGAGGGAACATTCCCACTTGGCTTCAGTCACTCCAATCACTTGTCATTTCAGTTGTATAACTTCAGAGGACCCAGCAAGCTTTTATCACCTTCCTGGTGGCGCAGGCAAGGGGAGGAGGAGTTGAGGTGACAGAAGGGCAGCTGGGGCCTTCCCAGGGAATTCTTGGCCCCCGTCCTTGTTTCAGAAAGAATTAATTTAGCAAGTGGTTACCCTCATCAGCTGGTAGGCCAAGGGAGAGATGTCAGCATCCAGAAGCTTGGGCAGAGCTTTGAAAACTGCTGTTTGGTGTTTGACTCCATTGGTTTTGCTGACTGTGCTGCAGCAGGATGACCCTGTGGGAGAAGAGAAGGAGCAGAGGGAAAATGAGATATGATGGAGAAGCAGCTTTGTGGCTTCTCTCTGCCAACTTGGACAGAGGAGTGGAGTCCATTAGATCAGGGGAGGCTCTGAGACCTGGCTGAAGGTATTGTGCCTCATGCAGAGTGAGGGTATTTAGCACAACTTGACTGAAGATGGTATTTGACAAATTGGAGGCAGCAGGGTTTCCTGGCAGTACAAACAGCTGGCTCACTTCATGGGGAGTAGCATCATCTCTAAACGTGGCCTCCTTGTCCCCTGCTGAGTTCTCAGGGTTTCTCACTATCCAACCCAGCCTGAAGGCAGAAGCTGTGACCAAGGGTGGGAAGATGAGCACAAGCTGCAAAGGGCCCCTGGGCTGTCCTGTCCTCATGCAGCACGCTGCATCTTCCATGTGCTGTAGAGGCACTTGGGGACTTGCTGCCTGAAAATTCAGGAGCTTGGTCTGCAGGTGCATTTGGTAAGGTTTGTGGCTTATAGGAGGACTAAGCAGCAGTGGGAGAAGTGGGTAAGTTTCTGTGTGACTAAACAAAGATGTGGAGCTACGAGGAAAGAGAAGAGTGGGACTGATGACTGTGTATTGCTGAAATTTATGGCATATTGACATGGTCTGCTGGAAAAAGAAAATGGAATAGATTTAGAGAAGGGCAGTGGCTTCTGTAAGGGACAAGCCTGTTTGACTGGGACCCTCCAATCTGGGAGGGTGCCTGGCCAAGGGAGTTACGATGTGGCCCATGAAGCCACAAGCCATGTGAGGCAGATGTTTGTACAAGAACTGGGGAGCATCAAAGTTGGCAAGAAGTGGGTTTAAAACAGAGTGCAGTGATCTGTGGAGCGCCTCACTGCAGGATATTGTAGGTGCTGGATTTCCTGAAGGATGAGGACATCATGGCAAGCTGCTGTCTGATGGACAGCAAGCCTCAGGGTCTCCATGAGCTGCAAGCTGCAGGAGCATGTTGGGGGGACACGGCTGTGTGTGGTGGGGGGAAGCACAGATGGCTGGTGTGGGTGAATAAGCAGCACCATGTCCAGGGAAGTGGCTGCCAGCAGGGAGCTGTGCCTTTGGCTTCATAGCTGCTGTCCAGATTTAATGTCTGTGACACACCGGGATCAATGGGAGGTCCAGTGGTCTGCCTGGCCTCAGGCTCTGAACTGGACCTTTTCTCCAGCTCATTGTCAACAGCTGTACTCATTGTTAAGCATAGACCAAATTATAATGATGTTTGTTCAAACTGCTTGCTAATGACCGAGCCCCAGGCCGCTTGGGGCTTGGTGCTGCTTGCAGCAGGATCCAGCTGCTGGCTCCAGCTTGGTCTCCCATGAAACTGATATCAGCCTTTGTCTGCTCTGGGAGTACCGGCCTGGAGACAGTGGCCTCTGTGAGCATCAGCTTACGCCTTTCCCACCGAGCAGAGCGGGAGGGAGGGCAAAGGGCAGGGAGGAGACGTGTTGGAGCAGGCGCTGAGCTGTGCTCTGCTTTCTCAGGGTACCTTGCCTGTGCTGAGGCCAAGCACTCCTGCTGCTGGCTGTGAACGTGGAGAGCCTGGGAGCTGGGGGATGGGGTTAAGCAGAGAGGTGTCAGGAAAACAGTCTGTTTACTGGAATAACACCTTGACAAATAACTGTCTTCTGCTAGTGTGCTTCTGGAAAAGCTGGCAGGCAGCGTCCTGAAGACATTGTCCGTTGTGTTTGCAGGGGTGTGTGCGTGAGGTTCCATAGTGCAGGGTTGCCCAGGTCAGACTCTGTTT